GGGGGGGGGGGGGGGGGAGAGTTATGGATCAAAAGGTAAACGAAGGGCAAATGTAAGACCAATTGAATACTTTAGGGGTTGATTTGAACTTTCTCCCTTCATTAGCTTAGTAAAGTTGTTCCCCCCCCCTCCCCCCCCCCCCCCCAAATAAAAAAAACCAACGATATTTTTTATGGTTATTAAACTTATATTAGATCTTGTTCGTGTTTAGTGAATAATGAAATTTTATACTTTTACTATATTCTTGTCAAAAAATTACCTCTTCCCTAACAGTATATGAATCCTAGTTTCTCTGATTAAACAAAAATATCTAACATGATATGTACATGCTTAAACACAAAGAACAATTTTTATTCTTGCCTACTAGTTTCACCTCAACGAACTCATGCGGACACTTCTCAAAGGGAGGATAATCTCTCAAATACACATGTTGATGTTGTTGACAGATTTTTCTTTTCTTCGCTGAATCCTCTTAATGAAATTTTCCATGTTGTGCTAAGTTACTTATGGACGTATGCATGTTGTCAGGGAACACTTTGGAGTGAACACCCATCCGAACAAGTAGAGTCAATAGTTTAGCATTTAGGCCGTAACACTTAGCAAAAAAAAAAAAAAAAAAAAAAATTTAACCCAACAGGTTATAGATAGCAGATTGACACATCCAATGAACCAGCCAGTAAGATAGACAAGCTACTTTCTTATTCTAGGATTGGAAGATCCTCTACCTATTAGCATACCCGTACCGGCAATTAGACTAGCACTCTCTCCCGCTGTAAGAGAGTTGATTGTCTACTATCTATGTCATGCCTTGTCTCACTAGTTGATTTACATGGATTTTTGTGTAGAAAAAATGAAAGGAGGTAATGTTAATATTTGAAGCCGCATGAAAGGCAAACATTGCTAGCCTTAACCACAAACGGGGGCTTTGTAGTTATCCTATAAAAGAGTATATATTATCAAGTCTATCCAACTATGACTGTAAGGTGGAGAGGACAACTTGTCTGCAAGGAACTGTTGAGATAGGTTTTTACAATGTTGTTAAAAGTGTGCATTTCCCTGAAGTTCGGTGCAACAGTACTTAGATGTTTTGCCTCCTTACTATGGTTTAGTGACCCAGACCCCACCTATGGGATTACAGTGAGTTTGTTGTTGTTGTTGTTACTATGGTTTAGTGAAGGCACCAAGAGGCGAATCTAGGATTTACTCTCTGTGAGTTCAACCTTTAAGGTTTTTAGTATTGAACTCATTATATTATTGAAGCTATGAGTCATATCTACTATTTATTACAATTTTGATGAATTTTTACCCATCAATTTATACACGATATCGAAAGTACTGGTTCAATTGAACCCGGTAATAAAGAGTTGCACCCTGAAGATCTCAATGTGAACAATCTCTATTGTTAAAAGGACAACACTAAATAACAAAAATAGATGGCAAAAGTACTTTACAGATAAACATACTAGTGATCAACATTGAAAGAAATTTAGTTACAACTCTGAATTAAATTCTTGCATATAGATCAAGTTAGAATGATTTTTGAACTTGAATGACATGGTTTTTACTTCATACATCCTATTCAATTTTAGTTTTGAGTTTTTACTTCAGACAAGAGGGGTTGCTCTGATGGTAAGCAACCTCCACTTCCAACCAAGAGGTTGTGAATTCGAGTCTCCCCAAGAGCAAGGTGGGAAGTTCTTGGAGGGAAGGATGCCGAGGGTCTATTTGGATACATCCTCTGTACCCCAGGGTAGGGGTAAGGTCTGCGTACACACTACCCTCCCCAGACCCCACTAAGTGGGATTATACTGGGTTGTTGTTGTTGTTGTTGATACAAATAATTATTGTTTCATTTATAGTTATCCTTTTTCATAACATATTGAGTATATATATTTTTTTAATTTTTTTTCTTGATCTTTGTCTGTCTTCATTAAGCCACACTTTAATTGTGTTTTGCGCTTAAAGACCCTGTAATCACTTATTGCTCTTCTGCGGCTTTGCTTGTGGTAATAATGGACTTATCTAATGCCTCGTGAAGTTGAGTTATATAGTTTGAGTACCGGTTTTTAGAAACAATGAGATTAAGAGATATCCATGATATACTGGTTGATAATACTCCCTCCTATCCATTTTATTTGGCAGGTTCATAGTATGATGGTCAAATTACTTAATATTCTACGTGAATTCAAACATAGATTCTTCAAATTTTTTGAAATAAAATTTACATATTTAAAAATTTCATAAAAGATAGTATGAGTTACAATAGTTAATAATCTAAGATATTTTAGAAAATCGAGTTCAAAGAAGAACCTCTTTGACTCGTCACATGGTATTAGTACCCCATAAAATGGAATAGAGAGACTGGTAGTTAGATGAGGCTATTAATTTGATTGTGTGTTATGGTAATAGAGATGGGTTTTTAAGTAAGTTATTGGCTCGTAATTTAAGAGACTTCTAGTGAATTGATGGTTCCTGTATGAGCTAGTGCGTGAATCTCTTTTTGGACTTGTCTGTTTATGAGAGGATTGGGTTGCTGTGTTTTGGTACAGGAGTCATGATTTGGTAATCTCAATGTTCTACTGTTTGGGTGCTGAACTGCTCTTGGAAAATGGAGTGTGCGACTGAGAATTTTTGTGGATTTGAAGCATGATATTTCAAATGCTATTGGGATCAGGAGAAATGGGTAGTGTCTGTTGAAGTAGCATATCAGGAATCTTGATTTGTATGAGCACATAAATTTAGGATGGCAATATCGATGATGGGAGAAATAGTTCTTCTTGAGCAACTATGTTGAGAGTCTACTGTCCTTTGATGGAAGCAATGAGAGTCTAACGCAGCTGTTATGATGAGGATATTGTCTTACCGCCTCAATTGGCGTCGACACTAAAGTTCGAGCTGTTGAAGTGCTGGTTTTCTGAGTATTCTTTTTGCAAAAAGCAGTTTCCTTAATTAGCTTCTGTGTTAACTTTGTACCTCTATATGTTTATGCTAGTTATAAAGCTGAAGATTTTAAGGTTTTTGCATTGAAGAAACTTATGCAGGATACTTGTGTGTACTCTAGGCGTGACAATAGAATTTTTGAAGGCAACAAGAGAAACATTCTTTGTCTTAAGTTTAAGGTTTTACCTTTTGCTTTCTGGTGCAAACTAGTACAGGCTATAGATGCCATGTTAGACATGATGGGGAAATTGCAGAACTTGTAATTACTTTTTTGATGCACTAGCTTAGTGTTTATTCATCTTTGTAATATACCTTATCATTTAGCAAAACATTGGTGTGTATTGACTAACTTATATTGGGAAATCAGCTGCTTGACAAGGCTTTAGACAAACTGGAACAGGAAATTTGCACAGAGGGAGGGGAGATAGAATCTGATGGAATAAGAATTCCAGGGGTAAGTTTTACTGTTAAAAGGTTGCCAATGTGTTTTGGCAAACAGGAAGTATTGTATACTCCTGGCCATGGAAAAGGATAAGGAAAATTAAAGCTCCAAAGTAAATTCTCTCAGCTGGATAATCTTTCTTAACGCAAGACAACTTGATGAAGAGAGGATTTGAACTTTTGAATAGATACTTTCTATGCAAAACATTTGCTGTTGCACTGTGTGGTAGCCAGAGATATATGGAGCATGATTTGTGGAATTCAAGGGGTTAATGCCAAAGCCAAACAGTCCAAAGGATGCTTTGGTAAGCTGGTGGCTATGGAAAGTGGAGAAAGGGAAGGAAAAAAGATACGGCAAAATGCCTCTTGAACCTTTTTTGTTGGTGTAAGCAGAGGGATGTGACTGATGTAAATCTATTTTTGGACTTCATTGGCACCTTAAATTTTGCATAGGGGTCATTAACGCATTCCTAATTATGCATCTTCTGGATGTCAGTATTAATAAAAGTTTCTTTCATCCAAAAAAAAAAGGCTTGTCATCCTTGCCGTCTTTTGGCGTAAGTGATAAATTGCTAGATGCAATCAGTACCATGATGAAGTTCACTTTGTGTTTCTGAATTTAATACTGGCTTCATCACCTTAATGATCCCAAACTGGTTTGCAAATTTCTAGTAAGTCCACTTAGGGGTCTTTTTGTTGGGCTTTTAGGAGATATATTCTCGAGAAATTTTCATAAAACACTATCTTTTAGTAGTAATTATCCATCTATAGATACCATTTGCTATATTACGGATTATAGATACCTTTATGTGGTTATAAGATGTATTTGATGTATTTAACCTATTGTATTCATGAATACAATAGCAAAAATAGGCGTGAATCAGGGAAGTCCAGCTAATCAGTTGTTGTATTCGAGTGTATTCGACTGTATTTATGGAGTGAAACATGGGATTACAGCTTGACAGATTATTGTATTCGACTGTATTCGACTGTATTCACGACGTGAAATAGGGGATTACACTGTTTTTAAAAGGGAAAGTGAATCAATTAACATAATAAACTCCTAATATAACTCAACAAACTCAATTATAACACACAAATTTTGTATTTTAAGTTATAAAAAAGATTCTCAACCGAAAAATACCCCAAAAACATAGCAATCTCCAGAAAAATTATATAATACATCTGAATACATAAATTATATTAATTAAAAAAATATATGAATACATTCATGGCATATAGCGAGACACTGAATACAATGAAATACATAGAATACAACGGGATACATTGAAATACAATGAAAAAAAAATAGTGAATACAATGAAATACATGGAATACAATTGAGATACATTGAATTACAATGAAAAAAAAAACAATGAATACAATGAAATACATGAAAATACATTGAAATATATTAACAGAAAATCAAGTTGCTCAGCCCCAAACTCCGTCGTATTTGTTCAAGAACAAACCCTAATTTCCGGCGACTCTTCCTCGTTATGCCATCGGAATCACTGTCGCTCTCCGATGGATCCAAAGGCAGTGAATTTTCACGCGATTAAAATAGCTACTCTCAGAAATTCAAAACTTTACACGTATTAATCAACTCGTATTTGACAAGAATAGATATATAATATGTAGATGTCTTACCAAGAATTAATCTTCTCCACACTAAACAGTATTTTACGGAGCTTATAGTGTTAAAGTGGTAAAATATTATATGGGGTTTCTACAGGTTGAGAGGATGTATAGGGTTTACGTGAGCAGTTAAAAATGGCTTTGGAATAATCGAAGAAGGGGGAAGAGAATGAGATGTATCAAAGTAGAGAGAGAAAGAAAATTGTATAACTGATTAGCGCATTTAGTGGCTTAGGGATAAGAGGTAACCAAAATTAAATATTTTGCTATAAACCTTAAAAGGTATCTATAGAATATAATTTTTCTAAATGGTATTTATTTAAAATAAATAAGGTGTTAACCTTTGCTATAGGAGGTAAAAATTCCTATATTCTCCTCATAAAAATTAACATTAGTTTATACGATGTTTGATTAGGATTTGAAGATATTTAATCTTCCTGCATGACAATCATTGCATTACTAATTCCTGCATTACAATCTCGGCATCACTAATCCCTAAATAACTTATCTCTAAACCAAACAGCCATTTAATGGTGCTACAAGTTGTCTGTCCTTTCCTCATTCAGTAACTACTTGGACTGCTACTAGGATGTTTGCACTGTACAAGTGGCCAATAGTGTTCTTTGCACAGTTAAGTGCTATGATGATGAATTGATCCAGAGAAATTTATAATATATGAGAGTTCTTTCTTCGTTTTAATGATTGGTGCCCAACTAACTTTTGTCTTGTCGAGTCCACATAGGGGAGGCCTAGAATGAAGAAGGTTTTTGTTTACTGAATCCTTACATTGAAGTCTAGTTCTGTCGTCTATAATCAGGATTCGTGTGGAGAATTTTGGCTAATTCTTAACTATGAACTTGAAGTTCTTTTCTCCTTTACATTTACTTATTCTTGTGTGTAAATTTATAGTTGTCTGTCTAGTAATTGCTTTTCTCTGTGTTTTCAAATTTATTTCAGTTCAAAAATTGAGATCTTTTCTTTATTAATAGGGAATCTTACGTAAATGTTGCAAATAAGTCCCAACTTACTAACTTACCAAACTCAAATAAATAAGGTTCTTTCTTTCCAAGAATCACACGCAAAGATCTCCTAAGCTACTTATAAATGGACATAGCTGGTACAATAACAACAACAACGACCCAGTAAAATCCCACTAGTGGGGTATGGGGAGAGTAGTGTGTACGCAGACCTTACCCCTACCCGGAGGAGTAGAGAAGTTTTTGAAAGACCCTCGGCTCAAGAAGACGAAAAGAAAAGAGACAATATCAGTACCACCAATAGATACCATAAGAAAAAATAACAACATCATGAAAACCAGAAAATAGGTGCAAAGCAAAAATGCTAGCCAGTAAATAGACTCGGCTCTATGAAAATTTACGAAAGAGTAGTAAGGCATAACATTGCCACTAGTTATCTCAGACAAAAACCCTATCAAACTAGCTCACAAAGGTACGAACTAAGGAAAGACTCAACTAGCTCCTAACCTACAACCTTAATACTCGACCTCTACAGCTTCCTATCAAGGGCCATGTCCTCGGAAATCTGAAGCCTTGCCATGTCCTGCCTGATCACCTCTCCCCAATACTTCTTAGGCCGCCCTCTACCTCTTCTCGAGCCCTCCAGAGCCAGCTGCTCACACCTCCTTATCAGAGCATCTGGGCTTCTCCTCTGAACGTGCCCGAACCATTTGAGCCTCGCTTCCCACATCTTGTTATCAATGGGAGCTACGCCCACCTTCTCCCGAATATCATCATTCCTAATCTTATCCATCCTAGTGTGCCCGCACATCCACCTCAACATCCTCCTCTCTGCTACTTTCATCTTCTGGATATGTGAGTTCTTAACAGGCCAACACTCAGCCCCATACATTATGGCCGGTCTAACCACCGCTTTATAAAATTTACCTTTAAGTATCGGTGGCATTCTCTTGTCACACAGGACTCCAGATGCTAACCTCCACTTCATCCACCTCACTCCAATACGGTGTGTGACATCCTCGTCGATCTCCCCTCCCCCTTGGATAACCGATCCAAGGTACTTGAAACTGCCTCTACTTGGGATGATCTGTGATTCAAGCCTCATATCCACGTCCACTTCCCTCGGCTCAGCGCTGAACTTACACTCCAGGTATTCCGTCTTCGTCCTGCTCAGCTTGAAACCCTTAGACTCAAGAGCCTGTCTCCAAACCTCCAGCCTCTCGTTAACACTAGCTCGCGACTCATCAATCAGAACTATGTCATCAGCGAATAACATACACCGTGGCACCTCCCATTGAATATGGTGTGTTAACGCGTCCATCACCAGGGCAAATAAGAACAGGTGAGCGCAAAACCTTGGTGCAACCCCATTACAACCGAGAAATGTTTGGAGTCACCTTCTACTATCCTAACCCGAGTCTTAGCCCCATCATACATGTCCTTAATCGCCCTAATGTAGGCAATCGGCACACCTTTAGCCTCCAAGCATCTCTAGAGAATTTCTCTAGGAACCTTGTCATACGCTTTCTCCAGATCAATAAACACCATTTGCAGATTCTCTTTCCCCTCATCGTATTGTTCCACCAGTCTCCTAATAAGGTGTATAGCTTCCGTAGTAGAACGACCCGGCATGAACCCAAACTAGTTGTCGGATACAGACACCGTCCTCCTCACCCTCGCTTCAACCACCCTCTCCCAAACTTTCATGGTATGACTCAGTAATTTGATACCCTTATAATTGTTACAACTCTGGATATCACCTTTGTTCTTATACAAATGGACATAGCTGGTAGTTTCCCTTATTAATATGCTCTCTTACAGTATTAGACTTGAAGCCTATAGATTTGGAGATAGGTCGCAAGGTTGAGTAGCTCTCTATGTGCATTTCTTTGCCATTATGGATTTACAAGCTAGATTATGGGACATGTGAACCCATGGTCTCCGCCAAACTACTTATTCTATGTATGTACGTATTTTCTGGAATTGGTCTAATATTATCTGTTGGCACTCATACTCCAAAAAGGCTAAATAGTGCACTTGGTTGAATACTGAGTTATTTATCCAAAAGAATAGGGATCGATTGTCACTTAATACTTTTTTTCTCATTTCTTTAGTGGTGCACTGATGATAGGCTATAATTACGTATTTTAGTCGCTTATTACACTCTAATTTATTGCACTTTAATTGAGTTTGCGCTTTAATCGCTAGTGTTTTGCACTAATTGTGTGTTTTATGCCTGGTAGGTGTGATTCCGAGCTATATAGATGTTATGGAATGAATTTAAGTGATTTGAAGCTTTGAAGTCTGAGTAAAAGCTCAAGGAATTAAGCCGGGATCGTGTCCGGGGGTCAAATTTGATAATTAAGTACGAACGAAGACTTGAGGAGGCATATTGCGCACTGTCTAGTAAAATAGACATAACTTTTTGCTCAGAACTCCATTTTGGCTCCACAATGTATGGTTGGAAAGCTAACTCAAAGGGCTACAACTTTCATGTTTTACGTTTTTCCAAATTCCAAACGGAATATGGTGAAAAACTGCGGTTCCACCGCGACCGCGGCAGAACCGCGGTAGAAGATGGTCGCGGACAACTGAAGAATCAGAGGGCATGTTTGGCCGCGGTTCCACCGCGACCGCGGCAAAAATTTCAGGGACTTATGTGCAAAACACGGGATTTTAAGCCCTAAACCCTATATTAAACCAAGGAAGCCGGCCAAGAAAGAGAAGGGGACATATTTTGGACATAGATTCGACCTAAGGAGGCAAGAACACATTGGGAGCAAGGCGGAGAATTCTTCTACGAGTTTTTTTCTTCCTCTTCCTATTTTTCATTGTTGGTTATGACTTTTAGTATTGTAGTTTTACATACTATTATGAATAGCTAATTTGTTATCTAGAGTTTGATAGAACCTTTTGTAGGATAAATTCTAGTTATGTTTTTATATAATTGAGCCATAGCTTTTCTCTATTTGTTCAACTACGTTTATATTCTGGTTGATTGAAGAGCTCTCAATTAGCTGTGCCTATTTAGTATGCATAACTCGGGAGAGAGTGCATATTTAGGTAATTGTTGAACAACACCACTCCCAGAGTATATGAGGGATCAATAACCGAGGGTTTAAAGGTGGGATTAGGGATAACGAAGCCTTGGGTGCGATCTGAAATGATCTGTATTAAAAGCCAGCTAGCGTAGCTCGGGAGAGTGCGTTCTAGCAAATTGTCGTAATTACTCGGGAGAGATTTACGGTAATAAGAGTGCTCATGATCGGTAGAGAATACTTAGGCGAAATTATAGAAGACATAGCAGGAAGGATTCCGACAATTGGGGAAATCATAACTCTAGACCTCCTTAGTCTTTTCTCTAACCCTCCCTCAGTATCGTTAGTTGTTAATTTACTATTTTAATTTGTTAGTTAATTAGTTAAACACAAGATTCTTAATATCTATAAGTTATGAATTGTTCAAGCTTGTCTTCTTGGTGATAGTGAACAGCTGTAGCTAAACCTTAGTTCTCTGTGGGATTCGACTCCGGACTTGGAAACCGGATTATATTTGCAGCGACCGCATTGTCCTTTTTATAAGGCATAGTTGGGCGTGATCATACACCAACGTTCTAGAAATCCTAGATCCACCTTTGCATTATTATATGTCCAAAAGAGCGAGTCTTCATGTCCAGTTCTCAGTTATTCCTCTCCTCTCAGGTTGGAGAAACTTATGGGAAGTAATGTCACAACAGCAGCAGTTGGGCCTGAATAGAATGGAATGGCCCCGGAGAATTTATACAGCCAACTCCAATTAGTTTGAGATTTGGGCGTAGGTATCGAAATACTACTATGAGAATTGCTTGATCCTCTTCATGCAAGTTCTGTACCCCCTTTTCTGCAGTTCATAAACATAAACAACACTAATGAACTTGCACAGTCGTTTTACTTGTTGGACATCGCGTTTGTGATTTTTCTCTAGAATCAGATATCCAAATTTCTATCATGAATTGAAAGATTCTTCATTATCTTTCTAAGAGGGTTTAAGCAAAGTGTACTTTGACTACAGGTTCACTCAACAAATTTTGATTCTAATACATGGAATAACAAAATGTCGTGGCATAGGTTAGCAATAGATGGATCAATGTAGCTGCATTTTGTTTTGCTTTGGTCTTGTTTGGGCATTAGTGCTTGAGTGTCAATGCAAAGCAGCTTTTCATTCCCTTGTTTCGTCGTGACACTCCTATTTTAGTTGAAAACTCCCACCGTGATTAATCGGAATGTGCTATTTCTGTACTCGCAGTGTGAAAATTACCCTCGTATTTAAGTCATACCAAAAACATCTATTGGTAGAAGGAAAAAGACATTGAAATAACGCTTCCAAATCTCACCTACTAGAAGGTAGAGGGACGAGTAGAGTAAATAAAGATCTAAATTACAAGCTTTGATATTTGAGAAAAAACCATAGGCCTTCGTTATTTTTCTATGAGATCCGGGAGGGGATCTTACTTCCAAAGAAATCAAGCTTACGAATAGTTTAGTCATAAGAATGAAATTAGTAGTGTTTAAATTCTCAGGTTAATCTAAAAGGGGGAAAGATAAGCTCAAGGGTCCATTGTATTCCATTTGCCAACAGTAGGGGTAGCAAACGGGCTGGTCAGGTCGGATATGAGTGGGTCGAAAACGAATAAATTATCCAATTCACCCATATTTAATACGGATAAAAAACGGGTTATCCGGCAGATAATATGAATATCCATATTATCCCTGACTTCTTGAATATGATTAATTTTGGGAGAATTCCTAGGCTCCTAAACTTGAAGAGTCCCCAATTTGAGGATTTACAAATATAAAAGTTAAACTCATTAGTTATCCATCTGGTTATCCATTTCCTAAGTGGATGATATGGTTCTCATCCATATTCGATCTGTTTTTAAAAAGTTCATTATCCAACCCACTTTTTAATAGATAATATGAGTGGATAATTGTTTTCTTTTATATATGATTTATTTATTATATATTCGCGTGTCATTTTTAATTTAAGCGGTTAGATAACCGGCTATTTAGGTTAATGCTTGAGGCCTATGAGAAAATGAGGGAGAGAAAGAGAGAGTCGAGAGTAAAGGCTCATCCAAAGATTTGTTAGCAAAGATACCCATGTCATAGCCTCAATCTAATGTCAAAGAACAATGGAAAGAGAACACTCTGGGAATTTCCATTAGCAAAAAATTAAGAAAGAAAAATATTAAGTACTAACTTCACCTATACCAATCCCCCCACTATTTAAAGAGAAGTTGAAAAATCAAATCAAAGAGAAGAAAAACAAGCCAAAATCTCCAATTATATTAACACTCCACATTGGGCTTTTGAGCCAAAGGAATAGCAGCAATTGCATTGTTATCAGCAGTAGCCACAGCTCCAGGCAACTTCCTCTTAGGCTTGGCCTCTTGCAACATAGATACAACGTCCCTCATTGATGGCCTGTCCGCCGGATTCCGGCTCGTGCAGAGCAATGCCACCCTCAGCAACAACATCATTTCCTCCCTCACTGAAAGACACGAAGCGCCAGCATTTTTATCCAACACATCGTATATCCCATTTTTAGTCTTAATCTTGGACCTAAACCAATCTACAATACTATTTCCATCACCAAATTCTGGTTCTACCGATCTTTTCCCTGATAAAATTTCCATTAGCACCACACCGTAACTGTAGATGTCACTCTTCTCATCAACTTGCAATGTATACGCGTACTCTGCATCATTAAACACATAAACATGTTTAATAGTAGTAATAACTATGATGTCAAGTATATAATAATGAAAAGATAAGATCGTATTGTATAATATAGTTTGTTATCATAACACTTTGTCTGCTAGCGCAAAAAAAATGTTTGACTTTTGAACATTTAAAGTCAGGGAATGTAGTACTAGTAATATTAATATATCAAAGGGATTAATCTAAGATACAGATGACTAGCTTCACAAAATCTTGGTGGGTCCAAAGAATAACAAAAAGCAAAAGCTTAAACGTAATTCACGCGCAGTACTAGTGCGCAATTCTTCTGAAGCACTACAAAGTTGTGGCTAAAACTGCAAAAAGAGATAAGAAACAAACGAGGTGGTTCCGCCGCCCTTAAAATTTAGCTTATAAATATACTTAAATATTTGAATTTAATTTTCAAATATATTTATGTTAAATTTGAATCTTCACAATGAAGTAAAGAAATACTTGATAATCCTTTACTAAAAAATTTTAGATCACTATTCTTACTAAACTAAGCTAGACAAAGACAGATCTAGAATTTTGAGTTTAGCTTTTAAGGTTTTTACCATTGGACCAATTGTATTTCTAAAATTATGAATTTAAATCTATTATTTGTACCAATATTAATAAATTATGCTCCGCTTCAAAAGTATTAAGTTTAATTGTACCGGATGGCAAAAGGCTAGATCCATCAGATTGTGGACAAAAAATGAATTTGACAAAGAATATTAACGACGATAGTGGACAAAAAACAACAAGATATATCATGCTTTTACTCAAAATGCATCATGTTATTGACATGACACCACGTTTAGCACGCAAGTGACCCCTTTTTCGTCACCCTACAAAACGAACTAAACGGATCTGACAAATATTTTTTGGATAAGCACTCAAAACAATCATGTATTTTCTCAAGAAAATAAACAAAAATTCCATCAAATAAAAATTTAATTAAAGAACAAGATAAAAAGTTTAATACTAGAACTTACCGGGTGCAATGTAGCCATAAGATCCAGCGATTACTGACATAGATTCATCACACTGAATCAATTTAGCAACACCAAAATCAGCAACTCTAGCCTCCATTTCACCATCCAAAAGAATATTACTAGGCTTAAGATCGCGATGAACAATGACGGGATCGCAATCATGATGAAGATAACAAATCCCCTGAGCCACACCGAGCGCGATTTTGTACCTAGTGACCCAATCAGCTACCAAATTAGCGTCCTTATTCTTACCATGCAACAAATCGTCGAGGTTACCATTGGGCATGTACTCGTACAACAACATAGTACACTCGTTATTGTTGCAACAACCTAACAATCTCACGATATTCCTATGTCTTACGTTGCCTAAAACATCGACCTCAGCTAAAACGCCTCGCCTTTTCCTGATTGTCTCCTTGTGCTTTCCCCATAGCTTTTTCACCGCTATGATCTCGCCACCTGGCATCTCGGCCTTGTACACTGTCCCTGTTGAACCCATTCCGAGGATCTTGTCCGTCATTGTCAAACACTCCAACACGTCATCTGCCGTGAAGTTCAACCTTTGAAACGCTGTTAACTTCCACGGCCCAACTTCTCTTTCGCCTGAAAATCGCCTGCTGTAATTGGCGTGAAAACATCGGCTCCCAGCTATAAGGACGAACAGCCCAATACCAAAAGCCGCAGCCATTATCCAGACTATCGCTCCAGCTGTCTTTTTAGGCCGCGGCTTGACTTCCAAGGCTCCAGCAGCGAGCCCATTGGTCCCGCAAGGTTTTTGAATGACAGTACCACAAAGGCCTTCGTTTCCAACGAAGGACGACGAATGTAGGCTTGAGAATATGGAGCCCGAAGAAGGCACCGGACCAGTGAGCTGATTATAGGACACATTGAAATTTTCCAAAGTACTGGAATTGGCAAAATTCGAAGGAATTGTTCCAGTGAGAAAATTATGAGACAAATCAACTTCCGTTATAGAAGGAATTGCAGATATTTCCCAGGGAATGATTCCAGTAAGCGAATTTCGTCGAAAATTCAAGCAAATGAGCTTCTCACAATGCTCAATATCCCAAGGAATGCTACCTGTTAGATTATTTCCTTCAAGTTCAACTTTGTACAAACTTCGACACCCTTTGAAATTGGGAATTTTCCCGATTAGGCCACTGTAACTTGCCGAAAATATCTGCAAGCTTGTAGAACTCCAGATACTATCAGGCAACTCACTGTTGAATGAATTCTCTGATATGTTCAAATACTCCAATTTCCCAGCATTCCCAAAATCTTTCGGAATTGGACCAGAGAAGTTATTTTTACTCATGTCCAGGAACGTTAAATTGGGCAAGAAACCGAAACCCAAAGGAATCGAGCCGTTGAGCTTGTTGTTTTGAATTCTGAACCGCGTTAACGCGGTGCAATTGGCTAAGGAAGAAGGAAGCTCACCTATAAACTGATTTGAAAACAGGATCAGTTTAACTAAGCTGTTACTGAGACAAAGATTTGGTGGAATTGGACCTGACAATTGATTTGAAGAGACATCAAGTTTTTGTAGCTTAGCATTTGAACCCAACTTCTGTGGTAAAATTCCAGTGAATGAATTATTCCACAAAGCCAACATTTGAAGATTAGGAAGCTCACCAATTCCTTGTGGGATTTCACCTGTTAAATTATTGTTCATCAAATTTAAAAGAGTCAGCTCCTTAAATCCTGAAAATCCTTCAGGAATTGTTCCTGTGAGATAATTGTCGGATAAATCCAACGATTTCAACAATTTCAGGTTGGCGAAAGACAGCGGGATTATACCAAACAAATGGTTCTTGAAAAGAAGCAAAGTTTCAAGCTTTGTCAAATTGCCTAACCCAAAAGGTAGAAAACCAGATATATTGGCTTGGGAAATATCAAGATAGTTCAAATTTGACAAAGAGGAAAATTCAACAGGGATACCACCACTGAAATTGTTGTAACCAATCTCTATACGTTGAAGCTGTTTCAAGAAACCCAACTCAGGTAAAATTGGACCTGTTAATACATTTCCAGCCAAGTGTAAAAACTTCAGCTTTGAAAAATTACCATAAGTTTTCGGAATTACACCCTCGAAATAACTTCCGCCAAGGTTAAGGTACTCAAGATTAGGAAGCTGAACAATTTCTTGAGGCAAAAGGCCTGTGAAATCATTACTATAAGCATTTAAGTGTGTTAAAGACTTGAGTCTTGAAATGCCAGGTGGGAACGTGGAATTAAAAGAGTTATGACTAATGTCAAGAGTTTTAAGGAAAGGGAATTCGAAAAGGACTGTTTGGAGAGGACCATAAAAGGAATTTCCACTTAAATTTAGGTGGTGAAGGTGTACTAAGTGTTTGATATCTGTTGGAATTGTACCAGAAAGATTTCGCCTTGAGAGATCAAGTGATGTGATTTGGCTTGTTTTTTTGTCACATTTAATGCCAGACCAAGAACACCAAATATGTGAACTTGGTCTTGAAAAAGCAAGTGTAGGATCCCAGTCATGGAAATTGTTGTGAGGATCAAAAGATGATTTTAAAGACAAAAGAGAAATGAGTTGCAGAGGAAGATTTGAACTACTAATGGAGAAAACAAGTGAAAATCTTGTTAGAAAGAAGAAAACTGAGAAGATTGTAGTGAGAAAGAGAGAAATGGAGTGTTTCATGGTTATGGTGGAATAGAAAATGGTTGAGAAATGGGGTGTGAAAAGAGAGGTAAATTTAAGGGAAGGGAAGGTTTTGATTGTTAGAAATTGCTTTTTTGGAGTGCTAGAAACAAAGATCTTCATCATGATTTAGTTTGCTATCAGTGGGTTTTGTTTGGTGTGAAGAGAGAGAAAAGAAAATTTAAAAAAGAAGTCCAAAAATCTAAGCTAGCGTTTGGCCATAGATCCCAAATTTATTTTGAAAAATCTGATTTGGGTGAAGTTTGATTTAAAGATGAAAATGTGTTTGGACATACGATTTCAAAACATATTTTTCAACTTTATTTTGGGAAAACATGTATATAATTCCTAAGTTTTGGAAATTTGGCCCAAATTCAGCTTATTAGCTGAATTTGAGATTTCAAATATGTGATTTGAGTTTTGGCCAAAATGTGGGTCAAATTTATGGCCAAACATGGGATTTGAAAATAAATTTCAAATTAAATTTGGGAAAATGTATGGCCAAACAGGGGCTAAATAAATATTTTTGATTTACCACTCGATGCCCGGTACGCGCATTAGAACCGAACTGTATATTCGAATTTGCGCCGCGTAAGGGCCATACCAAGGCTTGAACTCGAGACCTCAGATTAATGATAGAGGGATCATATTCATCCCACCACAACCCATACTGGTTAAATAAATATTTGTACTATTCCTTCTTCTTGTTGATCTTTAGTTTCTGCTTCTACTTCTGTTTGTAACTCCCATACTTCTACTCACACAATTCATCTGTTTTCTTTTGCTTTAACTTTCTTTTTATGTCTCTCTTTCCTCAGTATTTTTCAACTTTTTTCTGCTCTCTTAATACTTTTGGTTTTCTTAGATTTCATTCCTCTTTTCTTTTTTAATTTTTTCCCCACCACTTTTGCATCATTCCTTGTTTCCTTTATCTTTAGCCAACCAAAAATTTTGATAATAGAATTTGGGCAGAAGTATAGTGGCAATGTTTCACGCAGGATCCAAGAAAGTTTGTTTTTGATTTCCCACTTCCCCACATTATTCCTTTAAACTTATTTGCTCTTTCTTTTTTATTCTTTGTGATTCTAGTTTCTTTCCCACTTTGAACTAGTAAATGAAAGCACATTGTGACATTGGGTCATGCTAGGAGAGGACCACATCTTTAATTGGAAAAATCCTGCAAAATGTTTTTTAAATCATCAGGTGCCTCTAATATTAACTTGATTAATGTCAATCATTTTTCATGTGGTCACAAGTATATACACAACTTCTATAATAGTCCATTATTCAAGTACTTACTTTAATAGCATTAAGATTTTGAATCTATTATCCACTACTCTCTTAAAGGCAGAGCAAAGAAGGAAGAAAACAAAAAGATAAAGTTCAATCAGGTAGGTTGAGAATCATGAGGTTCTCGGGTTCAAATTCTCGCGAAAGCAAAAAAATAGATAATTTCGCTTCGTCTGTTCAATAATTGATGGACAAAGTTATATACACTCTCCGTTTCAAATTAGATGACACACTTACCTTATTAGTCTGTTCCAACAAGAATGATATATTTCTAAAATTGGAAATAAATTTGAGAAGTTTTTATAGCCATACAAATATCATGGCCTCACAATACCCCTTAAGTTTTTAAGATCACAAGTTTCAAAAGTAATTTTTTTTAAGATTCTATGCCAAGTCAAAATACATTATGTAAATTGAAACGGAAAGAATACCTATACTAGTGGAAAGTAACAGGTATCATGTGAAATTAGCTGAGGTGCGCGTATGGCTGGGACACTAGAGATATAGAAAAAACAAAAAAAATGAGAGAGAGAACCTTCAAAAGAAAAAGAAGAAAATCGTATTATATGTGAACGAGTGTGGCCTTTTTAGAGATAGTACATTGGGATTCATTAAATCTGCTAAGTACCCCAAGTATTTATCTTGATACGCCTGCCATGCACAGTACTGGGGACTGTTTTACATTTAATATTGTTACTTTCAAGTGGGAAATTTTCATTGTACCGAGGTTGTAATTCAAAGTCTGGAAAATGTACAAAATATAGTAAGGATATGGGTGACATGAAACGATGGGCATCATCAATTAAATTCCAGCTATTTTTACACCATTTTGACTTTTGTAAACTTTTAAAATGATGGGCAATTTCTACTTTGTATCATTAATGTTTCGAAAGTGTATTCATTGATAAAGAATAAAGCTTTAAACACAATGATTCTCTTCTCTCTAGTGTTTTCCCTCTACCACACTACGAAATGTAGAATCCAAACTTCGATTGTACGACTACTTTTGTGGATAGCTGAATAGTTTTGGTCACCTCCTACTATTGTACTTTACCTTTACTCATAGTATTAGATCAATTTTGCTTGACATTTGGCTGTGATGCCCACCCCTCCTTAAGATATACTTATCACCTTAAAGGGAGAGGGATAAATATAAGACAACTTTAATCATGGTGAAAATGTATTACAAGCAAATTGCATACATACGACATTAATCATGGCAGGGACCCACTACTCTTGCACTCTTTGTAGTACTATAATTTTACTCGTCGTTAAATGGATTGCTAGAATCAGGAATTTATGTAGATAGATTAGATAACCACCATCAATGTCCTTTGGTCTATAGAAGTTTCATATATCTTAGTACGAGCGTACAAAGGAAACTGACAAATCACACCAAACTAATAATACGAGTTGAATCGGGAAAAGAAATATATCAGACTATGGTTTGATTTGATTTGGTTTTGGTGTTGATTAAAAACCCCGAGAATAACTGGTTTGGCTTCATTTTAACCAAAAAAAGTCGAATCTGTTTTAGCAAATAATTACTAAACCAATCAAGGATAAATTAATAAGGTGAATCTCAGTTGAACTTAATAAATCCTAGATCAAACGAAACAGAGTTCTTGTATGACGAGTTAAGGCTAAGAACATTAAATAGTGAATTTAATATGCTATGATTGGCAAGACATGTAATATCATAAATGTGTAATAGATGCGAGAATGATAAAGGTTGTAGTGTAAAGGAATCGTCACCCTATGATTGTGCGATTGGGTGTTCCTTTCTCTGACGACGTGGAAAGGTAAGTAATCAATTTCAGTTATGGGATCTTGAGATTTGTGGATAAAGATTGAACAACATGTGCTTGACTAAAGAGAATAAGACAACTCTTTCGTATATTCTTCTCTCAACTTTACAATATGTCTCAGTTCTCAAAAAAGGGCAGAGCCCCATTTGTTCCCCATCTCCTCCTATTTATAAGGGACATTCCCCCAAAAACCCTAAAAAGTACAACATAAAGAATATCCAAAGAAATATATCCTGTCTATTTCTAAGTTTAAGTTACCGTTACTATCCTATATCAGCTGTCCGCGTCTAGTCGTCCGCTTTCATTTGGACGGCCGTTAGTCTTTGTGTCGTGGTCAACCCCGTCCTATGTTTTGCATATCCGTTATCATGGCTACCAAATTTGGACCTATACAGTTAGTCCCTCCGCTTATCGGGGTCGTAGCCCTGCACGTCCTCGATAAGCGGACATCATACGTTTCAGTGATGGGAGAATTCGGCTATTAGATTATGCCTGGTTGACTAAGATCGAGAGAACGACACAGCTTGCAGGCCCCTGGTTGGTGTGATTATCAAAATGTGACGTCACCACCACGCACGTCATCATTACACATCTTCCCGAGACAACGTCTGTGTTCTTGTCGCTTTGATTTTAGCGGCATCGACAGTTCTCTACTTCGATTCTCGCACCACCCATCCCTATAAATAGGTGAGGGTTTCGTTTCTTTCAGAAACTTTTGCCATCTCCTTCCTTATATGTACATTATTCTTCTTTGATCATCTTTCTCAGTTTCTTAGCTCTATTTCTATGATTCTGCTTACTATCTTCCTGTATAGTCATCGTCTCTCCCTTCTGGTTCACTAGCACACCCTCTATTATCGAGATGTCTCGAACCTTTCATGCACATAATGAAGTTTTCGATGCCACTCCATTGTCAGTGGCCCCTCCTTCCGATGGTGAGGATATCGCGGCTGAGGAGGGTGATAGTTTCCCTACCGTGGAGGAGATACTCCCCAGAAACCCTTCATCCAGGAGCGATTTTCATAAGGAACATGCACCTTCTCCCATTCTGGTGATTTCTGAAACCGGGCCATCTCAGCTAGACAAACTTTGATCTACATACCACATTTCTCCTCACGTCGAGATGGTTCCAGCTGGGGGGACATCATAGAGGTCCACAGACCTGAGTATTATGCTTTTTATGTGTATCCTTTCGTGATTGGTCACACCCTCCCTCTTCTTCTGCTGGCGGAGGAGTTCTGTCGGTTTTACAAAGTCTGTCCGGCACAGCTATCTCCGTACTTGTATAAAATCTTTCTGATGCTGACGAAGTATGTGAAGTTGTGATGTTCCAAACGTCAATACCACACAAGAGGGGGGAGTGATTTGTGTGGTACCCAACTTTTGCTTAAACTGCTTCTGGAAGGACCTGGTTCTTTTAGGTGTACTAACGACTGCTGTTTGCGGAATTAAAAGTACATAAAATAAAGAACACAGAGATTTTACGTGGAAAACACCTGGCTCAAAAGGTGAAAAACCCACGACCTACTACTCAGTAGGATTTTCCCAAACTTCCACTAAAATCACTGAGCCAAAACAGCATTTACAAAACTCTTGTAAACCTAAGGATTAAACTCTAATCCCAGTGTGGCACAAAGCCTCAGCTGCTGCGACATTTTCAAGTTAACTCTAACTTGAATACTCAATATACCTATTACAATTGCTTCTAGATAAAGCTGAAAGGTACAATATAAAAACGCCTACTACAATTGAACTAGAAATAAAGAAAGACACATAAAACTCTTTATGGAGCTGGTTCTTCAATCTGGTTCATGTAGCTTCAGGTTTGCACACTTGAATCACACACGAACTGCTTGCAAAAAGCCTTGCTATTTTGCTCCCAATTCACGTTTAACTTCTGCGTTTTTGTGCAACACTTTAATGTGAAAACATCCTGCAATTTATAGAGTTAGTAGATGGAGAAATAACTAGAGTTCTGATGCAACTCTTCCTTGGTAGAAGAGTTCTAGTTGATTTTAACTTC